CCACCACCACCACCACCACCACCACCACCACCACCACCACCACCAGCAGCACCAGCACACCAGCACACCAGCACACCAGCACACCAGCACACCAGCACACCAGCACACCAGCACGCCAGCACGCCAGCACGCCAGCACGCCAGCACGCCAGCACGCCAGCACGCCAGCACGCCAGCACGCCAGCACGCCAGCACTAGTAGTAGTAGTAGTAGTAGTAGTAGTAGTAGTAGTAGTAGTAGTAGTAGTCGTGGTGGTTTGTAGTGAAAAGTTGCAGTAGTTATAGTAGCCAATGTAGCATGAATTCAAGTTCTTGATCCTTGAAGAGAAATATTCAAGTTCTTGAACCTTGAAGAGAAAGCGAGTTACGGGATCCCAGGGTAAAGCCCACTCGGAACACGCGGCAGGTCGGAGGAACTTGCAGAAGGCCAGGCGAAGTCTGAGAGGGCCGAATTTCCAGGTGGGACTCAAGAGGCGGCTGTGTGGGATGCACATCAAGCCGGTAAATGCCGGCCGTGCAACTTTTTTCTTTTGAAGCTTGATGGATGTCGTTTGGGTGCAGCCTGCAAGTATTGCCACTTCTGCACTCCAGAAGAGGCCACACGGCGCAAAACCAAAATCAACACAGCTCGTCGTAGAATGCAAGCGTTTCACCCATGAGAGTTGTTGCTATGCTAATCGCTTCCCCTTTTTATTAAACACCACCTAATGATGATAAAACAACTGTTCGGAAAACCACCCTCAAATTCATCGCGTCCTTTCAAAAACTAACTTGGACTAGGGAGGTTTCAGGAGCAAGAGCAAGAGCAGGAGCAGGAGCAGGATCAAGAGCAGCAGCAAGATCAGGAGTAGAAGCAACAGCAACGGGAGGAGCAAGAGCAGAAGCAAGAGCAAGAGCAGCAGCAAGAGAAAGATACGCAGCAGGAGCACAAGCAAAAGCCGGAACAGGAGCAAGCGGCAGAGCAGGAGCAAGATCCGCGAAAGTCACGCCCTTTCCTAAAGCTAAACACACGTTCTCAGTTTCTAATTCCCCCGTCGTTTAATAGTTTAATAATCGGGGGAAGCGATTGTTGCCGAGAGGCCGTTATTTAGCAGGTGCTTTGGTTTTTGGCAGAAGCTGCCGTGAGATGAGCCTGTTGTGCAGAGTGATCACAAAACAAGTGCTGCTCGCGTCTTCAGCGGCGAACCGCGAAGTCCATATAATACATGTATATGTATATACATATATATATATATACTTATTTGTTTATTTATTTATTTGCTTATGTGCCGACCTATTTTTGAAGCAACTGTGCGACATGAAGTAGCTTCCCGGTCCTAAGTGTTTAGGCTACCTCAAGTTCTCCCGCCCGTGCCCTACTCTGCTACTGCGAGCTACATTGTCGGGCCCTCGAAAATGGCAATCTCATCATTTAATTTCTATCACAGAAAGTTCTATCGGAAATCCCATAAACCCTATAAGCCCTGAGCCCTAAACCCCGGACCGATGATAGCAAAGAAAGATCACCCAGCTGTAAAGTCTAATATAGGGGCCTTAATAAGTAGAACCGGGTTTTCAAGCCCAATATACTATAATTATAATAACGAACCCCCAAGATAGTATTGGTACTTGTTTAAGCCCCTACATCACATCTAGTGCTCAGAACTCCAGTCTAATCCTAGTGGTCTGCTTACTCAGGTTCCTGCTTGGATAAGAGATTAGGGTTTAGGGTTAAGGGTTTAAGGTCTAGGGTTTACGGATTAGGGTTTAGGGTGTAACTACTTGGGATGTGTGTGTGTGTGCGTGCATCTAGGATTCGCATGCTTTCGCGTTGACCCTAGAATGACACCATGTGTTCTGGACAGAAAATCGAGTACTCTCGAAGATTTACAGTAATAGTAAACCTAACTCAGAATAATGCTGATCACAAAATAAGCATAAAAGTCGTGGCAATATAAGTATTAACCGTAATTTATGTGACAATCAACGCAATCATAGTTAACAGCAATCATGGAAGCACCCCCAATCCGAAGCTAATGCTACGAAGATGCTTGGCTCCCGAGGCTTTCGCGCGACTGAAGCTGAAGCAGTGGTCCGGCGTGGAGGATGACTGCACCAAGGTCGTTGTTTTAGGGTTTGTGTAGGTAATTGAAGAGTTCACAAATGTAAAACAACTCAACCAGCCACAAGGTTTCAGGGTTTGGGGCTTTAGACGAGGTGTATTCCCAATCCTAAGCCCTAAACCCTGAACCCTAAACCCCTAAACCCTAAAGCTTCCATGGTCCCTCCTTTCAACGGGGCGTCTAGAACAGAACAACCCCCCCCCCCCCCCCCCGCCAATCCAAAACATGCCTCGCTGGTGGAGCTTTCCGGCTGTGCCTACGCCTGGCCTTGAAGCTGACGTCTCCCAAAGCATGATGTACCATGAGTCATATATCTATACACATATATACATAATAGTATAATACACATATAAATATACATGCTTCTAGATGCATAGATACATATATATATATATATATGTATGTATACACATGTCTCTCTTCCTCTGTTTGTAAGTGTGTGCGAGTGTGTGTTTTTGTGTTCGACTACATACGATATGTGTGCATGTTTCTATGTATGTATGTATGTATGTATGTATGTATGTACGAACGTCAGTATACCTATATATATATACACACACACATAGATGTGTATGTCTGTACATGCACATGTAACACACACGCACACACACACACATACTGTATTGTGTTGTGTCTATGTATACGTATGTGCATCTGCTTTAGAAGCTGTCTATGTATGTATCTAGGTACACATTTAGTAGTGTCATGCGTATGCACCCCACAGGCTAGTGCTTGAGCGTATACGCCATATTGCTTGTGCCTTCTTGCTAGGCCCTGAGCCTCAACTCGGGCAATGCTAAGGCAGCGAGTTGCTTGCTTCTGGTTTAAGGTTTAGGGTTGAGGGTTTCGGGGTTGTTCGAGGGCTGCATGCTGCAGGACAAAACATGAGTGGTTTACCCAACCCAAGCCAGCATGCTGACTTAACATGGTTAAAGCTGGCAGTTAGTTAGTGCTCTTCACTATGAATGAATTTCTTGGTTGACTGGCGAGATCGCTTGTTAGTTCGTTCATTCGTGAGGATCAGCGGACGATTTCATTGCTTGCTTCAGCAACGGACGGTTTCACTATTCGATCGCAGGAATTTAGGTGCCTGACATAGCCAGACCAGACCCCTGGCATTACAGCAATGGGGTATCATTGCAAACTGCTGAACATTGAGATCTTTGTATTAGGCAGTTGACTAACACTGTCGGCTATCCTCAGAAGGTCAGAAGAGTAACGTTGACAGCAACAGCTACTGCCACCAAATACACTCAGAATCGCAACTCTGAGAAGATCCATGATGACTGCGACACCCTATGCTGGCGGTTCCAGAACTCCATTCGAAACGGGTTTTAATGCTTGGTACGGTTGATGGAGAAAATCCTGCATGACCCTATATACCTACACTATGGGCTTTGTGGTACTATACTATATTTGGGTTTTTGCAGAATTTTGTCTATCAACAGTACCAGTCGGGCTTGTCATGGCCATCTGATCCGGCCGAGACAAAAGCATCGTGTGGTTCAACTCGGCATACCGACAAGCTCACTTCTCGGAACGGCAAGGTTTGCAAGCAGGCAGCCAGCAGTCATAGAAAGAGTGAGTGACTAGTGCGAGTCGGAGGATGTCAACAACACACCACCACCACCACCACCACCACCACCACCACCACTACCACCACCACCACCACCACCAAGCCAATACAGAGGTCGGAGTAAGTAGCAGCATTGCCCACTTATGGCCCTTAAATGCTGTACCATCATATGGGGGTTGCCGCAAATAGGGACCCTAATATAGTACTCTAATTAGTAGGATCCTTATTATAAGGACACCAAAATAAGGAACCCCTTATTTTCGGAAACTCCCATATGCCCCTTCTCAAAGGGACTCGGGAAAGACTCACCTCCCTCTGTGGAGGCCTTGTACCGCCGAGCGCAGGCACGTTTCGAGCTGCTCCCCCAGAGGGGAGATCTTCCGAAGATCGTCCCAAACCCCAAACCCCACACCCTGAGCCTGGGCCCTAAATCCTAAATCACCTCGGGCCATGGGTCTCTCTGATGAAACGAACCTGGAGTTCAACTCCAAACCGATTTAGAAATGTAGGCACTTGATTGTTAGAACCAGTAGAACCTCCCCTCCTTCTTAAGGAGTACACTGTATGGATCCTACTATAGGGCTTAATTGGTTTCATGCATCGGGGGTCTACACGGTGGGCCCGAAAACTAATTTTTCTTGCCTGAGGCTGTTCTATACAGTTTAGGGTTTAGGGTTCAGGGTCTACTCTCGGAATCTCACGCTCAGGGATTTTACTCGTGAAAAAAAGGCCTGCAAGATTCCACTCTCCACCAGATGCGTTCAAAATGAATCCATGTAGATGCTGCACAGCTCAAACGTCAAGATATAACAGTATTTAACTCTAGCTAGCCTGCACGGCGTGCATACTACTCTACACCATGCCTACTATACGAGATATGACATGATGTGATATGTTATGGCATGATATGACATGATATGCTCTGTGGCCTGGTTTTGTGGAGGCTAAGCCCTGAACCTGAACCCTTAACCCTGA